TGTGGAAGGGTCCAAGGCTGTGCCCTGATTTTCTTTCAGAGTCAGGAATGTTGCCCTTGTTCTCCTTTGGTTTCTCAGTATGAGTGCCCTTTACTTTTCTACTGCATACACCACCAGGCARTGCAACGTGCATCTGTTCTTTTGGAAAAAAAAAATGCCAGTTCACTGTCATCTGCATCCCTCAGCCACGTCTAATGTTAGTATACTGAAGAAGGAAAATATTGCTCAAAATATTGCTAAAGCTGAAAACGGACAGGTGGTGGCAGCATTGGCCAGCTGCTGCGTGCGGCAGGACTGCTCAGGGCCAAGGCGGAGGACCTGGTGTTCTCAATCTGTCAGCCTTGCTTTTCTTAACGAAGTAAGGAACGAATTCTGCAAGCTGGAAAATGATTTGGCCCAATCAAGATAACTTTCTTCAGTTCTGGTGGAAAATATGCCGGGTGCTATGTGTTGCGATGAATTAAATAATTTAATTGGAAGGGTGCTGGGTGAGCTGGTGGAGGTAATTTGGGATGGTAAAGCCCTGGCCAAAGGAGCAGCTGCCCACGAGCCTGCAGTCGGCAGTCTGGAATTCCAACAGGAGCAGTTTGCTGATTACATGAAGGCAGAGCTTCAATAACAGCCTTGGGGCCTGAGATTTTTTTTTTTTTTTTTAAGTTTTGCTCTTATAAGGACAAAGACACAGATTATTACAGGAGAGCCTGTATCTCTCCTGCTCTTGTAGGTGTATTCCTGACCATTCTCTTCTTTATAGTCCCTGTACTGCAGGGCAGCTGGGTTTGGATTGTTCTTCATAGGCTCCTAAAGAAAAGCTGCTGATGTCAGACAAAGGTGGGGCTGATTTGAAAACTTAGGGCTTGGTTTTTCTTTAAGTGGAGCCAAGGGAAGTGGGTATTTTACTTCTAGTAAATGATCTTTATTGATGAAGAAGAAAAAATATAGGCGAGTCATGGTAGCTAATGTTCATTGACCGTTTCCTCTTTGTGAGGCACATGCTAAGCCATGTCGACACATTTCCTTTATTTTTTAAAAATTTTTTTAGTTGTAATTGGACACAATACCTTTTATTTACTTTTATGTGGGGCTGAGGATCGAACCTGGCACCTCCCATGTGCTAGGTGAGCGCTCTACCACTGAGCCACAACCCCAGCACTGACACATATCTTAATAGGTAAAATAACACCAAGATACAGGTACTGTTATTATTCTTGTTTCACAGAGGAGGGAAAAACAGATTAAGTGACTCCCCAGCCAGTTTGTGGTGGAGCTGGGCCTCAGCCCCAGTGGGGCTGTGGTTCCTGTGTCCTGTGCCCCGCTGCACTGCCTGATGCTACCTCCTGAGGGTGCTTTTTTACTGAGCAGTAATCTGTAGCTGTTGAAAAAGAAAAACTCTTCAGGGCTGAGCCAAGGAAAGAGAGACCCACCTCTGCCAGAGCATATCAGCCTAACTTTAGTTGTTCATGAAAAAAAAATCTGGGTCATAAAAGGCAGGTGGCATTTGATAATGGGGAAATACAAGATTGTCTGCTTGTATTCAGGGAAATCCTGAATATTCGATCACTTGGCTACTGTAAAACGGAGATAGAAAATATTTTTCCACTTTTTAAAGCAAAACACCTCTACACTCAAATCAACTCTACCTTTTCCTTTGCTGTGTAGGCTGAACGTAGGAAGAGAGGAGAGGGTGAGAGATCCACAGGTGCCCACAGAACCCTTGTGGCAGTATCACCAGAATTCTTGACAATTCCCACTGAGAAAGCAAAAAGGAGCAGAGCCTAGGGGAAGGTCTGAATAAGGGCAAAGCCTTTTGCCAATCAGAGGCCTCTAGAAGATAACAGCATCAAGTCAAGGGAAACTTTTCAAAGTCGTTTGTACTTTTTGCATTTCCTCCGCAGTAAATTAATCCTCTTACATTTTAGAAGTAGCATTCCTCCTGTGGTTTAGAGTTTTTCTTTGTAGGCTCATCTTCAGAGAGAGTTGTTTGATTTTACTTTTCTATCTCTGTATCACTTCACTATCCCTTTCAGGCAGTTTCGAATTGTTTCCAGAACTTTCAAACCAGAGCTGAGTTTCCTATGGATGGCTAAGGCTCCCACCCTGGGATGATGGTGGGGGTACATCAGTGAGCTTGTGAGAAGCTGGGCCAAGCATCAATCAGAGACAGGCCCTTTCTGCTGCTTCCAGACACAACAGGTCTCCCTGGGACAGGGGTCATTCATGTTCTTTGTTCCACATCTCTTCTTCTGTGCCAAGAGGGAGCCTAGAGCCATTACAGCCTCCTGCTGTATTACTTTTATTCCCCATTGTAAGGAGACAGACTCTGCTCCTTCCAGGACCAGGAGCCAGGTTGCTCCAAGCCTTCACCTCAGCTTTGCCACTTTGTGTTTTGTGGGTTTCTGCTCCAAGAAGACATGTCCCCAACCGCCCTGTCCCCTTTCCTTGTCTTACCTTTACTCTGTCACTGCTGTGTCTAGAATGAAATGGGATGTCGAAAGCAAAAACTCACAGCAATATCCTTGTCAGGAAGAGAGATTTCAACAAAACATAAGCAGACAAAATTCTAATTTAAATCTGCTTAAAGTAGGCTCACTCTGAGCACAAGTCAAAAAGGGGAGGTTGAATGATCATCTCTCAGAGACGTTTTGAAGAAAAGACTTCCTTTTTCTATCTCTGTATCACTTTTTCAACATTTAATGGGATGTTGCATTAGATTTCTGCTAAATTCCATTGCATATCTGCAAGTCTGGTTCTACTTGAGCTGTTTGTATCTGTAATCAGTGATCCCTGATGGTTGGGCTTTCTGAGCATTTTTGTTCTTTTTCATGACCTTTAAACTCTCTTCTAGTAGTTTAATAGAGGTGTTTGGCTTTTCCTGTGCTTGTCTCTACTTTCAACAATACAGAAAGAGTGTCTAGCTTGGTCATCAGAACCAATTTAGCATCTGGTGTTTTGTTTTCTTTTCTTTCTTTGGCCAGCTTTGGTGGTACTATATGTAAAAACAAAAAAAATGCTAAAGAAGCCCTGGGGTCAAAATCTAAATGAATTGCCTAGGAGTTAATGACCAGTTTGGAGGAATGAATGAACTTTCTGACATTCTGCAGATAGACATTTTTACCTGGATYTTTAGTGTGAATCATTGAGTGAATGTAGAGGTATGCCTTTTCAGAGGGTGAACACAGTCTTAGACTTTATTGGTTGACAGGCGAAGCTTACATCCTGGGAAGGAATCATATGAAGGAGGAGAAAGGATTTTAGAYGGAAGTCAAGAGAAGTAATACACTCCTCTGACTCGGCCATTTTCTTTAGTCAGAAAATCACATGATCTCTCTTCACCTTGAACAATAAATTTGTGTGATAACTGAATTTAATTMATCAGTTTCTAAGGTTTCTCTAGCCTCAAAGAGGCCAAAATCACTCTAACAACCTCCTACTTTCTGTCCCAATTGTTTGGCTCAGCTTGATCTCTCTGCTCAACAGGACCCACTTTAAAACTGCCTAATGTCCAGACTCTGGTCTAGAGTGAGTTCTGTGCTCTGACAACCCTGGGTCCTGAATGATTACCCAGGCCGTTGCCTCTGGGACACTCAGGCCACATCCTGAACTGGGCTTGGTTCTTTTCTTGAAGATTCCCTACCTCGTTGTGAAGAGGGTGGCCATTGGTGTTGGTCATATCTAATTTTAAATGCCACTTGTATTGCATGAACAGTGTGATATTAAGGAGGTCCACTTCCTTATCCATTAAATGGGAATGAAAGTTACATCTATAGAGTATTTTAAAATTTRATAAGACAACTCATTGCAGGATTCTGCTCAGGCATAGTGCTTAGGAAACCATTAAGCATGCTATCTTGTTATTGAGAACAGACATTCTACCTTTTATCTTAGACTAACTCAGTTATCTCTTCCTTTCAACTGTGTTTTACTGGAATGGGTTCATTAACTGTGCTATGAATGCTTAAAGAAAACATGACTCCCATACAAATATGGAATGAATACCTGTCAAATTTAGTTGGCTCTATAATGAGGGACCCAGTAAAATGGTAAAGCTGACTGAGAGAAGTAGAGGARAAGAAGAAATATGTAGTTCAGACCACAGTACTTTCCTAAACTTGAGACAAATTGGTTAATGTCATGGRGAACTATAACCACAACCTTTAATCTTCTCTTCTTGACATTTGCAGTTCTACCATGTTAACCTACAGTTATAAAATTCTTTATGTAGGCCTGTGAAACACTATTCTTGTATGACATTGTAAAGATACGCAAAAAGGTTCTTTTTTGCTTTTTCCAGGTTTGGGGTAATTTTTCTAAATGGTTATAATAAGACCACAACCTAAGTATTATTTATCGTAGAAAAAGATTAAACGGGGTATATTATTCTAGTATATAAGTATCTCTTTTCTACCTAAACTTATAATAGATACTAGGTCCACCCATAATTATCTTTTCATAATGTTTCATTAAAGAGGCTACGTGGATATTTAGGAAAAAAACAATTTCCAATGYTGAGGAGGGCAACCATCATTTAACAAGTACTTTTACAGGCCTTGGATCATATAAAGGGCATTATACACATTTTAGTTTAATCTCCAAACAATCCTGTGAGGTAGGTATTATTATTCCACTCCAAAATAGGTAAATGGGTCTCAGTGAAGTTAAATAATTTAATCAAGGTTATATAGTCAGATTTCCCTGTGCCCTGTTACAGTAACTCTCCTAAATTTTAGAGTACATATCTAGCTAAATACACAGATGATGGGTCTAGTTTTGCTTATGTGATAAAGCATGGTCCTTTTCCTATGAAGAGATTTACCTTTTTGAAACTGCCTGAGATAAGTGGCCTTTCGGTCCCTTACATATTGGATTAAAACATGTGTTTACAAGAGAAATAAAACCTCAGCAATCATTTGGTTTAGTTCTGTACAGCCTCCCCTCAAACAGTCTTCTTTGTAACTTATTTATCTTTCTTTTCTGTCTTCTGGTCCCCAATGTGTCTGTAGGTGGGCTGGATCCTTTCCATCCTGGATGAGCTGCAGCTGAGCCCCCAGCCTCCTGTAGGGGTCCTTCCTCTGGGGACTGGCAATGACCTGGCTCGAACTCTCAACTGGGGCGGGGTAAGCATCGCTCTCAGAGGCTGCCCCTACCACAGGAGCAGACAGCATCCCTGGATCACCCACATGCTTGGGAAGAGGGAGGCGCGATGCTGTCGGTGCCCAAGAGATGAGTTAGAAATGGGAGTCAAAGTACCCGTGAACCCTGATTTTATTTGGTAGCTTCTTCACTTTAAACTTACCATCAGCTAGAGGGAAGGGAAAGTTCAGAATGAGGAAAATGTGTGGTCAATACACAGGTGTGGGGTATTAAGAGGTGCCCACTAGGACATAGTGGCGGGGGGTTGGTCTCCAGTCCTTACAAATTTGAATTAATCCTGCTCTCAGCCCTGGTTAGAATAACAAATAAGGTTTAGATCTACAGTCCTACTTTGGGGCAGTAAAATCCTTACCTTATGGCTTTTTTGAGCATGGGTTTTTTTTTTTTTTTTTTCTGATTGGTGTTATCATGGCTTTGGCTATACAGGTATCCGACTCTCCTTCCCACTATGGAGCATCTTAAGGCAAGTGTGGGGGGAAGTAGTTCTCCTGTCACTAACTGGCCATCCTATGGTTATTATTGATTGAGTAGTACTAAGATATTAAGAAGGCACAAGATACTAACGTATACYGCCATACATACCCACCTTTTACCTACTCACATAAGTCTCCATCTCATATAAAAATGATCTTCAGCAGACATTAATCTGGCCTTTGGGTACATTAACCTTTTACAGAATTTCATTTTGCTTTGTGGTTTATAGTCAGCAATATGTAAGTAAATATATTCATATGCAGCAACTGAGGAATTATCAGTGCTCATTTCTCACATCCCAATTAATGATTCACATGTTAATAATCACACTGTCCACAATGCATCCAGGAGGAATGAGTAGCTCCCTAAGAGGTGCCTCAGTCTGATTTGTCCCAGGTCACAGAAGGATGGTGGACTGAGGCACCACCAGGAAGGGGGTGACTGAGATGGAATGATAGTAGGAGAAACTGATTGATTGGAATCCTGCCTTGATTCTTCCTTTTCTACACACATTTGTTCTGTGTACCCCCAATTGCTCTAGTAAGTGAAATGAAAGTCCTATTATTCACTCCAATAAAAACAGCCCTCCAGCATGACATCCTCAATGCCCACCACTGGCTCTTGGTGCTGGGAAAAAAATTATTTTTCAGCTTAAATCAGTGAGAGTGAGTGTTTTAAGTCCCTTGCCTATAGGTGTTGCCTGGTGTTTTAATACCTGGAGAAAAGCAGCTTGCTCTCCCAGCCTCGCTAACATCAAAATAAGCAGAGCCATAGCAGAAGGACCCTTCTTTGCATGCTGTAGGATCAGAGGCGTTGCTTCACTCCCCACAGCAACAGGTGTCTTCTTTGATTCTGTCCTCAGGGTTACACAGATGAGCCGGTCTCTAAGATCCTATGCCAGGTGGAGGACGGGACCATTGTACAGCTAGATCGCTGGAACCTCCATGTGGAAAGGAACCCAGACTTGCCTCCAGAAGAGCTTGAAGATGGCGTATGTAAGGTTAGAGAGTCCTTCCTTCAGCAGAAAGGAGCCCCAGAGCATCTTCCTCAGTCACAGGAAACACATTTCTGGCTGTAGAGTCCTGGGCTGATTCCTTCCTATAACAGGACAGCATTTGAGTTCCTGTCTCCCGGGGCTGTGAGAGTAATAGCACCACCCCCACGGAACCTGCCCCGTGGACCCTCTTTAAAGACTCAGATTTCGTGCTTGCTTCCAGAGCTTAGGAAGCTGTCTTTAACTTTCACACTAGCAAGGCATGTATCCCCTATTTTAATCATCCAAGTTAATTGTAAACAACTTATGAGAAGATGGAATATGTACGCGTTCCAAAGCATCAAGCATATGGTCTTTCAGTGGAAAGAAAACCTCCTGAGATGTCTGGCCTGATATCAAATATTCCTTATGTGTAGGAGGTTTGAACTAAGCCAAATTCTTCACCTGGTTGGGAGTTGAAGATGCCTAAATAAATGCTTTGCCTCAGTGTTTTCTTCTAGTTACTGAGCTTTCATTTCAAGCCAAACCAAGGGCCTATAGTTATAGATAGTGCTGTTGTGCATCTTCCCTGGAACATATGGTTCTGAGTTCTGGCCTCAATTTCTGTTAAATTTTGAGGTTTACTGAGAAGATGCTTTCTCTGTGTTACTTTCCACTTGTCTTCTGTGATAGCGTTTTCAGACTTTTGTATGCACAAGAATCTCCAGGTGCATGTTAGAGGCAAAATTTCAGAGCTCACACACCAGGCATCCTGATGAACCAAATGTAGGGAGAAGGCCCAGGCATCTACACTTGAAACAGCATCCCTGCTGTGTTGTACCCTGCCATTGATGAGGCCAAGATTTCATGGGTCTTTCAGCCTTAAAGTAGACTGAACACCACATCATTTAGGCCAAGTCCATTCATTCAGTAGCACCATGATCCTGACCAATTGTGATATGTGCTTTCAAGTTTCTTATTTGGTTAAAATATGTTTCACCTTGTCTTCCTAGTTTTTTCACCTAAAATTATGATTCTGTATTTAATAAAGTTTCTAGTAAATACCATGACTGCTCCATTGAATCAAATGTCCCTTACATATAGGAGGTTTTAGCTAAGCTGAGTTCATTATGTATAATTGAGTTTATAATGTAATGATGCAGTTTAAACAACAAGGATGTAATCCTTTTTTGGAGGAACGGGTTACCAGAGATTGAACTCAGGGGCACTTAACCACTGAGACAGAAAATATAATACTTTTAACAGATGTATTTATTTGAACTTATAGAAATTGGATAGAAAATAGCTAAAACAGAAAGAAGAGTTACCACATGAAAAACTTAAGGCCCTTCTACCAAAGTTGGAATGGTTTGGCCTATAACTGAAGTCCACATTTAATTCTCTTCCCAACAGCTTAAGAAATGGAAAGACTTCTCCATGTAGCCAGGGAACATCAGTCCAGATAATTAAAGGGCTTTGGAAATTGAGTTTTGAGGAGATGTGAAGGAAAATAGGGGCACATTTTCTTGGAAAATATGAATAGCTTAAAAACAAGTTAAATTGGGACATTATTTAGGAGGATTGTGACCAGATGTTTTCCTTAACTATCAGTGGATGCTAAGACATGGGTTAGAATTGTAGCCAAAAGGACATAAATGGCAGAGGAGGAGAACATGTGTGTGGTTTTGGCAGGATTGCCAGACTGTCCTCACTTAGAACTGATATTTTAAGTACAGGAACTGGACATTCTCAAATACGAAGCCAGGAGAGACAGACATGATTTTGGCCTTGTTCTATGTGCGTAATTTCTCTCTTGGCTCTCCAGTTAGTGAAAACCATTTCTAGGGGTTCAGTTAGCCTCTGGGTCATTATAGGCTCAGATTCAGAGGCTTGCATGTGGGGTCCTTCCTTACTTCCATTAGAGACCCAGGCAATCTAAGGTCTTTCTTTCTGCATTGGTATCTCTCTTGCTCTATCTCTCTTATTTTGTTTTCCCAGTAGTAAGACATAAAAATCTTATAGATTGTGATTGTGAGGCCTGTGAAGTCGTGTAATAAGCTTACTTTTGAAACCGTGAGGGTTAAAACGCTTCTGGTGACAGAGAGGTGCACTTCAGCTTGGGACACAACCCTGATAATTAACTGTGAATTTGACCTCTCTTTATTTACTTTAATGTTTATCTTTCAGTTTCCCATGTTGCATTTTTCTACTTGTTCTAACACTTAACCAAATCTTTAACATGATATAGATTTTACAATTTTTAACATGGGGTTTTAGACTGTTCAGGAGCAGCCAGGGCCCCAAAGGCTGTGGGCAGGATAGTTAAGTTAACGTGTGTTTCTGTGTGGGTGTTTGTAGAGTTCAGTCATATCAAAGATGCAGGCTTGATAAACTAAATGGGAATCCAAATTTTGCTGGTGTATGTACATATGTATATACATATCATATGCATGTATCATATATCATATATATGTATCATACAGACACACTTGGGTGTTTATCTTCCTTTTAGATCAACAATACCTGAATGATTTTCAGTGCCTTATTTTTTTTTATGAGTTTTGTCATAAAMTTTATTTTTAAAGATAGGGTATAAACAAATTATATATTGTTCATTTTAAGTTACAATATTCATATGCTGAATATGAACTCTTGAAAAAAGTGTATCCACTGATTAGGTCGGATAGACATTATCCTTACAATTGAATTGACTTTCTAAGTTTGCTTAGTGAACTGATCTTTATAGCTATTGCAGATGTGTACCCTGAGATTAACAAGTTTCAGTTATTGCAACATGTGTGAGAGTGATTCTTATTTAATAATTGATATCTGTAGCTCTTATTCCTTATACTATTTATAATTCTTGAGTTAGTTACTAGATTTGGATTTTCATGAAATAATTAATTCAAGAACCCTACTCTTTCTACATTAATACCCTCTGCTTTGGGTTGTGGCTGATTTCTCCCAGGGACTGGCCCCAGAACTAAGTAACTGGCATTAGATTTTATTTTCTCTTTCTAACCAGCTACGTACAGTTTACCTCTGTCTTTGTTTATCATTGCAGCTTCCTCTGAATGTTTTCAATAATTACTTCAGCCTTGGATTTGATGCTCATGTCACACTGGAGTTCCATGAATCCAGAGGTGAGGACAACGTCCCATTTCCATCTCCCAGGGAGGAAGTTCCCAGCAGGTGTTTTGCATGTTCCCTTTTGTTTACATATCACTTAAGTGTTTGCAATGTGCTTCAGTATTGTTCCATTTTAACCTTCATAATGACCTTGGGAGCTAGTCCCAATGGGAAGTGGCTGTAAGTGGGGCCCTAAGACCTAATTGATTGGGGTCTCAGAGATACTAAAGTACTGGACTAAATGTACATTCCAGCTCTCAGGACTGTTAACCTTAACTTTGAATGGAAATTTTGAACTGAGTGAACTACTAAGATAAAGAGAGATGATTCCACTCAAGCCATGAGGGTACTCACAGCCTCACAAACCACCAGTGATTGAAGCTCCATAGGTCATTACCAGAGCCATTGAAAGACAACAGCAAAACAAAGAAGCAGCAGGCATGTAGATAACAGGGGCTACAGATAATTTGGACACCAAAAGTGTAATGATGATTGAATTAGGGAGAAAGGTAGGTGATTCCCAGTGGATGAAACAGGTGTGAATGAGGCAGCGGGGCAACTTCAAGTACTAAAAGAGATGGGGAACAAACAAAACAAGTTTTGAAAGAGAAGAAAGATGAAATAATGAAATGTGATGAAAATATTTCATTCAAATTTTCTTAAGCTATTCAGGACTGAGAAAGTTTAGAATTTCTGTATATGCTTGTAGGCTCAAACAATCTCTTTTTTATTTTCTTGGTCTCTGTCAATCTCTTTCCCTCACTCTCTTCCTATAAATATAACTAAACTTTATATCTATCGATGACTTATGTTGGTATCTGGTTTCTTGCAAATATATTTATATATCCCCAAAATAATGCCAGGAGGTAGGTAGAACTGTACTTTATTCAGAAACTTGGGAGGTGGAAGTCATAAATGAGGAATTACTTTACTTCTTTTCCTCAAGGTTCTGCAGAGCTCAAGTAGTTTTAAACCATAGAATTTGAAATAAAGAGTCCTAAAAGCTAGAATTGAAAACTTCACATTCTGGCAACAAGGTAAAAAAAAAATTCTGATAATGCTCCTAGGACTAAAATGTCCAGGGTGGAGCTATTCAGACTGTTAGAATACAAATTGCAGCCAAAGAACAGATCTAGAAAGTCCCTCCAAGAGTTCAGGCATTTTGGTAGACCTTGGCCTTTCTGGTTTCATGAGGCTTTGAGGGGAGAGTCTCTTTAGGAGTCATATTCTATGCCAGAAAAGAACGATACTCAAGCCAGAGTTTGGTCTTCTCTGATTAACTGGAAAATCATGCAGAAAGGATGTTTGATAAAAGAATCTTAAATATCCCAAATCAGAAGCACCTTTGCCCTCCCACATCCTGCTACTGACAAGTCTTGGAGATGTGGTAGTAAGAGGCATCTACAAAAGGCCACATTACCACCTATTGTTCTTCCTATGTTTGTGGAGACTTCATTTGGGAAGTAAATGGGACATTTAACTTTTAATTTCTTGGCCCATTTTTTCCTTTCACATTCTTTATGAGTCTGCTCCTAGCCTTCTTAATAAGATTCCCAAGTTCCTTAACAACACATATAAAAAAACAGAGTTTTTATTAATACATGAATTTCCCAAAATAGGCCTCCTGGCATGAAAAGAAATCTAAATGAGTAAGTAGCCCACTATGAGCCCATTTAAGTGAGTCTAATACTTAGTCTAATTATCCTGAAAGATATCCTAATGATACACTTTTTTGTAGTTTGATGGAATTTCTATGCATAAAGTAAGAGGAGATCTGGGAATGACACAAGGTGGAAAAATCAGATTTATAAAAGAATTCTTTGGGGAAAAGTAATTTTTTTCTTCTTACTTTAAGCCTTGGGACTCTTTAATTTTAAAGTAGAATATGCAGTTGGTTTTTTTTTTTTTGTGTGTGTGTGTGTGTGTGTGTGAACATAGTTTAAATGAGTGATATTAAAAAACAATCAACTAAGGATTCCAAGCATTAATCTTTGAATATTTTAATGCAAAGGCTTAGTGTAAGTGTTTTATGTGATATGAAATAGAATTGCTAGCATTTTTCCTAAATGCAAACCAGAGCCTTTGGAGGAAAACCAGCTACAAAGAGCTAATAAAGGAGAATTTTGTTGATTGAGAATAATAGATAAAATATTCATGAAGATGAGATTGAGAYGGTGAAAATAAATGTCCATAATACAATAGAACTAAATTTTGTTGATACTCCAAGTATCAGAAATCTCAGTATTTATTAATATATATTTTTACATTAAATTTAAAAAATGTTTGCATGAAAAGTATAATTACTAAAGCTAGTTTTTAAACTGATTTCTGTTCATTTGGATTTGCCCCATATTTTTATCTGGTCAGTCAAGAAAATCTTAAGCTAAGCTATAGGAAAAAATGAAACATAAGTAAGGCCACTTTTCAACAGGGGTGAGGATGATTCATTCTTGTTGGTAGGGTGTGAGTGGCTGTTCTCAGACAAAGTCTATTCAGAGACGAGACTTCAGACTGTTCTCAGACATAGTCATTCACAATATTAAGGTTTAATGACAAAACTTGTATAATTTACTATAATATACCTGCAGGGTGACTCAAGTCTCAAGAGAGCTGTTCTGGAAAAAAATGATTCTGGATAAAATAACCTATTAGGTATTAGTCAAGAAATACAGTATTTTAAACTGGGAACTATGCCAATCTGTCTACATGCAGTAGTTTATAAATATAAATCTCATGAAGGCAGAATTTTTAAAAATGTAATTGCAGAAAGAATTTTTGGCATAAATAAGAGAATAGCTCATCAAATGGACAGTTCTTAGCATAACTTACTATATTGTATTTCTTTTAGAAAGGACAATTAAAGTGACATTTATTTTGAAACAGTTTATTGGTGTCATTACAATGCAAATGCTTTTAGAATTACTAGTAGAAAATCCAGCAGGGAGTATGCACAGTCTTAACATTTTGTTTGACTTTGTTTATAAAGGCAGCAAATATTTGACAACTTGGGTTTTTAATATTTGATAACAAAGAAAGCATGCTTCATTTGGTTGGAAACAGAGATGCTTATTCTCAAAGTGACCAAAGCACCCATGGTTGAATTTGTGCTACTCAAGTATCAAAAAGTGCATAATATGGAAGAGAGTTTGGAGATGTAAYAGGATTGATCATTTAATTGTCACTTGGAGTATTGCCCAGTACTTTCATCATTATTGTATTATCACAATGCTTGAGGGAGTATATTGAAAATATTCCAATCTATTAATGTTTAACCTTGTTAACAATGATTATGGTTATCAGTGACAAAGTTAAGTCTCACTTTGTCAACCATGTGAATGAGATTGTTAYTTTTTGGGCCTGGATATTAAATACATCAAACTTCTAGCCTGAGATTGGATGCTTGCATTTTATTGCCTCATTGACATTATCATTCAGAGGAGTTGAACCTTATGCTACAAGGTCAAGGAAATGCAATTATGTCTCTGGAGGAGGCAGTATTTAAATTTGATTTAGGATTTACTRTTTTCACTGAATATACAGAGGCTTGCAGATCAGCACCTTTCAAAGGATTGTCAATGTTTTATGACTCATTTCATAGGAAACAGACATATTTTTCTAAAAAGGTGTTCCTTGCAGTGGTTTGCTAAATTCCATCACTGTTGTCACTCCGAGGGACACGCTGCATGTCTTTTGTCCAAGCACTGAAGCTAAAGTGCAGTGTGCCCTGGAGAAATTCACTGCCTGCGGTCTCTGTCTGAAACTTTCTTTTCCATCTTGAACTTCTGTGTGTCACCCACTTGTCATTCATGATTCAAGTATACCTCCCTCTGGAACACTTTCCTGATCACTCTACCACTTCATCTCACAAAAATATCATCCATWGTAAAAAATTATGTTCTATTTTTCATTTTTTGACCTGTCACCTCTACTCTGAATTCCATGAGGGTAAAAGACCACATCTTTATTTTCATATTCCCGGTTCACAGCCCTGTGGCTATCTCCGTTAGTATTTGTTGCAGTAACAGAATGTTTGATTGCAGGACAGCTCCCACAGATAAAAGATAAATAGTAGAAGAAGGTACATATAGTGAAGGCAATGTTAGTTATAGAGGTCATAAATAATACGGGAGTTCAGCAGGACTATTGACAGAGGAAGAATATGGGGTAAATTTTCAGAAAGCATAGATGGAAATATGGCTGGGAGATAAAAGAAGAGTATGATATAGACAAGAAATGAAGTTGATGAGAGCATTTCAGACAGGAGAAAAAAGTACAGAGAGACAAYAAACTTGTCATAGGGATGGGTTCGATGAGCAATTAATACACAATAACATTTTTAAGGTATTAGAAAAATGATGATAATGTCCATAAAAATATTTTTCCTTAAGGGGAGATGATGTTGGAAAAAAATGAAAGATTTTTTAGTGCATACAATTTGAATCTAGGATGGTGATGTTACCATAGGCATAGGTTATGGAGTCATTGAACTGAAGTCTTAAAGTAAGTGTCCAATGGAGAGAATATGGAAGTTGTGTGGGGCATATGAAGTTCAAATTGCCTGTTGATTTTTACAAATACAGTTTTGCCCTTGCAAATAAATACCTAATGAATATGTCTCAGGAAAACTGGATTTGATATGCATTTCAGTAAAGATGTTGGAAATAGAGTAAAGGAAAAGTATGGTAAAGATATGCACRCTCAATTTATATGTGTGCTTGAACAAGTTTTTAAGATCTGTAGGTTAAAAGACCCCAGTCTGAATTATGAGTTAGGCAGACTTCCTTGTCAATGTACGAGCTGGCATAAATGAATGTGCATGTAGGTAACATGAGTAATAATCYAATTCTGAAAACTTGGAAATGTATTTTACCATGTGGAGTCTCTGTTCTCGGTATCTGTGTTTACAGTTGTCTTTTCACCTCACCTTTAGGTTTGAGCTGCTTTTCTCTTTGAGTATCTCATCAAAGGCAATTTGGGCTAAGATTAGTTGAAGCAAGTGTGCATGCAGCATTTT